TATTGATTAAACTTTACATTCTCTTTGGCCACAAGAGATGGTAGAAAGTGAATTAAAGGAGAAACGAATTTTTGCAAAACAAATTGGAGCTGAAGCTATCTGGAGAGGAAAAGATGACAAGGAGTAAGGTATACATCTCTGAGTGTATTTAAATGTAGAAAGGCTGAGGGATGCTCTTCTTAAATATTGGTTCTATGAGTATTTTGAGAAATAGCTTTGCTGGTTGGAATCTTCCAGGAATTGGCCTACTGATCATTATTTTGTAATTTTTATGAGACAGAACCTGGGTAGTAGTCCCCTTATGGAAATGTTGAAGATTGTGTGGGAGAATGGGATGTGTGTTTTGAGCAAGGGCTTGGGACAAGGCGCCAATTGCTTTCCATCAGATCAGTCTTTGTCAGGGCTCAATCTGCTTGTGAGTTATTCTGGAGTCCATTTCCAGCAGAGCCATCTGTTCACAATTGTCCTACCATCTGACCATTTACCCTCTGTCAACTTCCCTCCCCTGGACCCTCCCACTGCCAGTTAGAGTCCGCCCATTGTCCAACCTGGGTAAACTGAGTCTGAGGAGAGACTGGGCAGGAGAGAAGGGAGAAGGGAGAACTTTCAATGTATTGGCATTCAGGGCCAAGACATGTTCAGGGAAGCCCAATGAAGCCTTCAGACAGAGCTTGGGGAGAGAGCATGTGGCCAAGCCAGAGCCATATTGTGCCCCAGGCAGTCTGATGGCTCCATAAATAATATTGATGCCTTTTGTTTGGAAACTCTGTGGAGCCTTCCCATTTCCCAAGAAGCCACGCTAAATGCTGGGCCTCCCCCAAGCCACTTTGCCTTTTGCACAGTCCCTGGGCCAACTGTGCGGGCAGATGAGGGGCCCTGAATGCTAATGAGGGGAACGGCTGGCATTCCTGAGGCACCCTGGCTCTGGGAACCCCGCCTTTGTTGCTAAGGAGCATTGGAACTGTAGCTGAAAGGCTCTGACAAGAGGAGGGAGAGGAGAGAGAGAAGAAAGGGGGGCATTTGTTTTCAGAGCTTCACAGTTCTCCGGCCAGTGCCAAAGCTGTCCAATTTCTGATCCCAATTAGAATATCAAACCCCATTATTGTTTCTCTTAATGATCTTGGGAAATTCCTTTGAAGAGTCAGTGAGCACTTAGCAAACCTTTTGGACAGCATGATCTGTACAGTTGTGCTTCTGCTTGTGTGAACAGACCATGCCAAGCGTCCTGAAAACACCCTTTATTCCATTCCCCAGAAAGCTGTCATGAGTCTGGGAGAACTAGAAAAGGGTAAAAGCTGTTGAGTTTTCAAAATGTTTATGTGAGAGCTCTATTCAATAGACATTTTCCAGGTGCCCACTTGCTGGTGAATCTGGGTTCTGTGCTGGGACAAAAATGTGCAAGACCTTGGTCCTGGCTTGGAAGGACCTCAAGACTTACCAGGGAGACGGACCACACATACTAAATAGAATTCTGTGGGTTATTTGCTCTTTCTGTTACCTAGAGAGCTCTGTTGAACTTGAAGTGTGCAAAGCATTCTAATCCTGGTTTAGTCATTCATGAGCTATAAGTTCTTAGGCAAGTACATTTACCACCTCGAGCCTCAGTTTCTCATCTGTACAATGGGCATAATAATACCAACCTAGCTGGGTTACAGTGAAGAGTAAGTGCAGGTGAGAATGAAGAGCAGGAATGTGGAGCATATGGCTTCTGCCCTCCAGAATCCCACTATCAGTGAGCCAGCTGTTGGCTTGGAAGATGTCTGTACCTGGAAAAGGCAATTAACAATTTGGCACATTGAATAGGTAAGTCCTAAATAAGAATATAGTAATAAGTCAGTTTTCCCTTATAAAGCATGTCTTTGTGCCAGGTATAGTGCCAGGCAATTTGCAAGCATTCTCTCCCCTGTGAAGGAATACGTGGGGTAAGCAGTGAATAGCTCTGCATCACACATCTGGGAAAGTCTGCCCAACTGGCAAGATCCAGCCTCTGTCTCCAGTGCTCTTTCTGTCTTTAGAGGCTGAGGATTTTGAACACTTGGGAAAGACCTGGTTGACACCATGTCTCTGCAGGGCATCCTGGAAGTTAACCTATCTACTGCACATGATTGACAGGCTTGACTAGAGAGAGTTGATCAAGACCACAGACACCAGACACCCTCTACCAAGTGTTCATTAGACATTCACAATGACACAGACATGGGGAGCATACCAAACACCACTGATCTGAGGAAAAGGAGAGAGAGAAGTAACAGATTTTTCATCAGCAAGCCATGGAGAACTCCTAGCAGAGAGGTCATCACAATATTCTGAATTGTGATAACCTAATGGTATTTTTCTGTGTGTGTTAGGTGGCTTGTCTCACAGCCAGGCCTCATATAACCACTACACTGCAACTTGATATCTAAGATTTCTTTATTAGTGAAGTTGAATTTTGGTTCTTTTAGTGTTCACTCAGCAAAAAACTAATGCTAATGAGTATTTACTTTTGCAATGTGCAAGTCTTGTGTGAGTGTACATACACACACACACAGATCTTGGATAAAGTAGTGGAGAGTCCCAGACAGGATATGATCCAAGAGTAATATGATCACTTGGCTCTACAAGGCAGCTATATCTCAAGATTTGTTTTTGCTGTAGCAGAAACCTCACCTCCATATACAGTCACACACAGACTATTGTTCAAGCTTTCTGATGCTTAGCAGCTAAGGGAAGGGACATAAGAAGGGTCCATCTCTACTACGTGCAAGAAATTGTCCAAGTTATGTGGCTTTCAGCATTTATAACACTCCTCTGTAAAGTTTTACAGGTGAAAAGACTGAAGCTCAGGGAGGTTAAACAACTAAAGGCTACCACCTACTAATCATGAGCTGGGTTTGGGCTAGTTTTAAAGCCAATTCTTATCTACTTTCCATTGAAGTGTGTGTGGTGGGGGGGGGGGAGCAGTGACTGTGGATCACAATCTGGCCCTGGCTGCCCCACTTACAGAAGTATTCACTCAGTCATCACTACAGAAGTGCAGGGTATGCACAACCTGTAGTCACATAGCTCTGGGGACACCTTTCATGCTATGTCAATGGAGGCCCCCTCCAGTTGTTTGACTTGATAGGTACTCAACCTCTCACCTATCAGGAGCTACACTAGATGCTAGACATAAAGAATCCAGCAAGGTAAAATCATTGACCTTCAGGACCTTATGATTTTTTTTTAAGATTTTATTTATTTTTAGAGAGGGAAGGGAGGGAGATAGAGAGAGAGAGAAACATCAATGTGAGGTTGCTGGGGGTCATGGCCTGCAACCCAGGCATGTACCCTGACTGGGAATCGAACCTGCAACACTTTGGTTCACAGCCTGTGTTCAATCCACTGAGCTACACCAGCCAGGGCAGGACCTTATGATTTAGTCTGAAAACCCCAGCTTCATGTTCAGGGCCTTCCTTCACCTTCTCCAACCCACTTCCCTACAGAGATGCAGGGTATACCAGGGCATTCTTAGGTATCATGCGAGTGGTGCTTCCCAAAATGCCTTATTCATCTGGTCAATTATCAACAGGCACAACCCAGCAGCTTTCTTACGTATCACTCCCCTGAGCCTCTGTTTCCTCATCTGTGAAATGGAGCTGTGTAAAGTGCTTTATGGAATTGTCAGAGTTGTATGAACCAAAGTATGTCAAGTTCCTGGCACACAGTAGTTGCCCCATGCATATTAAATCATTTGCTGTAACATTCTAATTTTCTTCATTTGGTATTTTTTTTTAGCATGAGAAAGTCATATCTGTTGGCTTACTTCTCTAACCTAAAAGGCAGCTAGAGGATCCAAGAGTTCTAGAATGTTAGAGAGGTCATCATGTTAGAGTCTGTCTGAAGAGGCATTTCTCTGGGCAATTCAAGGACTAGAAAAACTAAAGCAGGTTAGACCATAAGGCCTTTAGAGATCATGTATGTAAGTGGGTCCAAATTGTTCTTCTCTTAAGCTTTTGTTCAAAAGATTTTATGAGACACTCTCCTATATCAAATGGATAAAAGAGGATGCTCAGAGGGCTTTCTGTTTGCTTCTTCCATCGAACCTAACTCCCCCATGCTGTCTCCCATACAGTTGAGAAAACCAGGATCCAGGTCACTCAGCATTAGTGATGGTACTGGGAACACATTTGTATCCAAAGCCCTGGAGTAGTGTTGATTCAGTGAGCTCATGCTACCTGTGTGGTGTGATGTGTGTGTGAGTGTGTGTTGTGAGGGAAGTTCAAAGTTGAGGGGGGATGGTAAGGAAAGAAGAACTATGGAAACTGCTGGAAAGTTTTGCTTGATTTTCATGCCAAAAGAAGTAAAGCAGATGCTACCTGTTTCTAGCATCCCTTGCCCCAGGAGACCCTTCTCAAAACTTCTCTCCAGTACTCTGGGAAAACATCCCTGGAGACAGTATAACATTATGTGGTGTTGTACCAGAGAAAATATCGGGCATGTTCAGAAAACCTCATTTGGTATTCTATTTCTTAGTATTAAATTGATATATTGTTAATACTTTTCTTTTTCCTATAACATGTAACGTCTTCTAGACTAGTGACTAGAAAAAGGGCTGACTTCCTCATCCAACAACGATGTTCTAGGTCTATTATGTGACAGGCATTCTGGGGAGTTGACAGCATCTAGCATGTTTTTTACTCTATGGAATTGCAGGGTTTGCAAAAACACAGTTTGATCAGCAATGTAGAAAAATACACAATATTCATAATAAGTTTTATTTGAATAGAAGGGGATTTTAAGAAATTGGGTTCTTGCCACCTTAGAAGAGAAAACCTGGTTTTCTCAGATCATTCTGAGCTGCTTATGGGTGAGCATCACAGCCAGAAACCAAGTCCAAATCCAAAGCATCTACATTAGCTGCATTGGCCTCAACTCTGACAGTGCCTGCTTCCACCACTACACGCAGGCTGGAGATAAACACGTGTCTGAGTAGAAAGGGAGATAAAGGAAACATCTGTTCTCACAATATGGGCTTGTTATCATAGCTCCTTTAAGTACCAGAGTGCTGGTTCCAACAGCATATTTTCTCCCGAACGAAACCTCCTCAAGGCCTGGTCGATTTTCCAAGGGCTCAGGAACAGGTTGTAAATGAGATTGTAGTTGTGAATGAGGCACCAGGCTTGTTCCTTCTCCAGGACTCCTGTGATTAGGTTGGGTTGGTGGAAATTTTTAAAAGAGGAGAAAACAATACAAGAATAAAAAAAATGTACTAGCTTGAATGACTCCAGTGTAAACGTGAAATGCTAATATTTTAAAACTTTAAGCTCCTTGAAAATCAAGTGACACCCTAAAAGATATTTCCAGTCCAGGTATGTATCATGGATATCAGGAGGATTTTGAGGGTGACTTTGGGGAGAGAGGATGAGGGTCCAATTAAATCTGTAGATAGATTTGAAAGCAATTTAAGCTTATTCTTTGTGGCCATAAAACTTTAAAAGCCAATTTTTGAAACAGATGGGGTGCCTACTAAAAGCAATTTTTAATTGTTCTGGTTTATTTTTATCTGTGAAGTATCCAAACATATTTCTAAACATGCAGGATTCAAACAGTGCACTTGAATGCATTTCTGAAAATGTATTTACCATGACTCCCTCCAGCTTGCTGTGTAATCACAGGTAAACCGTGAAACTTCTTGTGGCTCAGAGTCTGAATCTGTCCAGCAGAGAGGGCTGTGTTTATCATTGCAGGATTTAATCTGGTACCCACATCTTGTACGTACCGGTGCTAATATGTTTTCCATGTTAAGGTTAGGTAGATTTCAATAACTGCAGAATTTAAGTGTACAACACGGCATCGGCCAAGATAGGCAACTCATTCATGTGTCCCTAAGTTCATTCATGTGAACTTACATATGTCACAGTAGTGCTTGGGAGTATAGAGGATTTAGAAAAATGGTCTAAATCCTCAGGAAGCTCCCCAACCAGTTGGAGCAAAAAATGATAAGCAAAAAATTAACTAAAATGCAACGATAACAATAATGACTGATACTTACATGTGTATATGAAATTCATGTTTTGGGCACTCCTGCAAGCATTTTACCAATAATAATTCACTCAGTCCTCACGAGAACCCATTTTACAGAGTGAGAAACTGAGACACGGAGACAGTATGTCCCTTGCCCAAGGTTGCTCAAGTCCTGTATTAAATCACTCTGCTGGATGTAGAATTAGGGGGAAGAGATTGTTTCTAGTCAGGCTCACATTGTTTACTAGATATGTTTCTTCATGGTGAAGCTCTGTGCTACCAGTGTCAATGAAGAGATTTTAAATATCTTTTATATGGGTGAAAGACACACCCCCTGCATGTTGCTTTACTACTTTCCTGTACTTATGCAGACTGTAATAGTGATTGTAAAATTCTTTCTCAGAGAATCCAGAGGCAGTCCCCTGGTCATTTATCAAAAGCCACTGCTTACTTATGAGATTTAGGTCTAGTAAATATCTATTATCTCCATTTCAGTCACCAAGTACTGTTCATATTTGAATGTGCAAGGACTGTTGAGTAAGATGTTCCCCTCTGAACTTTCCTCTAATAGGTGTTCTCAGAAGTGGGCTGCAGACTGGTGGTCCTAATGCATTTTATTCCTTTCACTTCTGTTCTGTCCTGTCCAGTCCCATTCTATTTCCCACCCTATCCTACCCCAGTTTGTTTGTTTCTATACTATTCTATTCAGATTTGTGTACTATCTCTTCTATTAGAATGTTGCTCCTTTTCTCTGCAGAAATCTCTCTTTGAGGATGGCCAGTTGTATCTTTCAGATCTCCGGATGGGGTGGCTGCTGTCCAGACACTTTCCCACATCCTGCCTTTGCAGCAAGTGTCTACCTGGGAAAGTTACTTTAACTGTTTGAGCCTCTGTTTTCTTTGACTTTAAACTGGGAAAGGAAATTGTATAAAAATCAATAAAATAGTAAATGCTTAGCAGAACACCCAGGATTAGTAAGCCCTAGTGAATGCAGGTATTATTATAGAATAATCATTATAACATCAACATTATTTAAACTATATAAAGATGTATTTTAATAAGAAGAAATTATTTTAAAATATATAATTATTTGATAATATTTTAAATAAAAATTAAAAATAATGTAAAAAACATTTAAGAATCACCACTGGTATGTGTGTGTGGGGGGATTTTCTACTATTTTTTAAGCATTACCATTGGTAGGGGGTCTCTACTGTCAACAAAAGTCCATTAACTGGAATTTGTATCTGTCTAATTTACTATCATCCAAGATTTCCCAGGGTAGCTGCATAAAATAACCCTATGATCCATCTTAGTGATAGAAAACTCACCCTTCTCCCACTAGAATCACAAATGAAAGCGCTAATAAGAAGAAGCTCTTTAATATCCACTTATTTCATAGCTCACAAAAGTCTTCATTTTATAGTTTTCAAATCTCATTTGATCCTTTCTAAAATCTGGGAGGTATGTTTTACTATAATCGGTCCCCTTTTATAGATGAGGAAACAGGCTCACAGAACATAAGTGACTGGCTTTCAGGACTCAGAAATTGGTAACATCTGCACTTGAATCTAGGTCTTTTGGTGAAAACAAACAAAGCAACAAGTGAAACCTCATGTTCTTTCTGGTATGTCATGGGAGTTTGGTGTAGTGGGAAGTCTCATAGGTCTGAGTTTGAATTAGGGCTCAACCTCCTACTTTGAACTTGGCTTTCTCTTTGGTAAATAAGGACACTAATCCCTTCAGCATGTGGCTGATGTGAGGAGTTAGTGATGCAGCACATGTGAAGTCCAGGCTCACGAGAGAATGTCCTTGAGGGCTCTCATTGCATTCTGCCACCTTGAACTCTAAAATACCTTTTCTTCCTAGCCTTTAGTTCACTGGGAAAATTCCAAACCTGCCTTGTATCGAAACATTTATCTCAACTACCCTTTTCTTTAGCTCACATGACCAGTTATTCAGTCATTCTTTATTCCTTCTCCACAAGGATATTTTCTTCAGCATCCCCTTTAGAAAATAGGCACAAAGTAGGTTTCCAGAAACACTAATTTGATGATGGATAGTCTGCTTCCATCCTGGATAAAGAACACTTGGGCCTACATATTTCCTTGCACATAATAAAGAGCAGTGATTCATCAGTGGGCAAAGTAGGTATCACCTTGCTCAGTGTCTAGAATAGGGCTGTGGTGGTCTGCTAAATACTGTGGTTAATAAACCAACAAAATGACTTCAGTTAATCCTTTTTCCTCATTAAAGATAGTTACAAATGTTCCCAGACCTGGCTGACACATTCCTTGGCTGTTGAGGAACTAATGAATTTCATAGAAACAGAGAAAACAGGCATAAATAGTGAAGAGGCCATGAGAAAGGCATTACAGATATACTGGAATCTGCCTCCAAAGTCAACAAAACTCCGTTTTTCTTCAGAACAGTTCAGAAGAATGAGAAAGGTCTCGGTCTTTGGGGAGTCTCTTAGCAACTAAGTTTATAATCCATCATCCATCATCATAAACCAACATTTGTTTTTATAAAATGTCTTTTATTTCTACTCAGTTTTTTAAAAAAAATTGTTTCATTTTTTTTGTCTGTAATCTTATCACCACTCCCCTAGTCCTGGTAGGAATATCTAGACTCATGATTATTTCAATAACCTTTTTATCTCCTTTTCTCCAGTATCATCCCTAAATTATCTATCTCAACTTTCATTGGTTTTCCTGTGGTTAAACTTTTGGTGAAGGCTGGGTACAGAAGGAAATCCTACTTAGGCCTTCATGGTTCATTATAGGGTCTCAACTTCAACTTCATTATCCCATCCAACATAAACTTCCAGCTCTGTCCTGTTTACTTTTATCCTCCTCATGCTCATTCCCACCTTCTAGTCTTTGCAGAAGATGGTTTCAATCTTGGAATGCCCTATGCAGCTATCTAAAGTCTACCTTTCCTCAGGCTAATCTCAAGCTCTCTTTTACATGGAGCCCTCTCTGAGTACCTAAGCTCACATTAGATAGTGAACTTCTTTTCATCTCTCCTCTTTCCTTTGGACTCTTTAACTCTTATTTGTGTCTTTAACTATAACACCTTACTATATACTGTCTTTATTAAAAAAAAGTCTGGTATTGAACTATTGCTAGTTTCAGTGTTGTACTTCTTAACTAAAAGCTCTTCGAGGCCAAAAACCACACCTCATTCTCTTTCATTCCCCTCTTGGTCCAGCCTCTAGCACAGTGCTTGGCTAACAAGAGATGTTTAATACATGATTTTCTAATTCAGCTAAACACACTTATATTTGAAATTTTTATTTTTGCCTCTCTTTGGTATAATTATCAAAAGTCTTCAAGTATTGTAGGGTAGTTATATTTCATGTGATCTATAGTTAATTTGTTTTGAAAATACAAAACACAACAAAAAGGAAAACACACAGAAAAAATAAGAAGGTAGGCATTGCTATTATTATATAATTACTTCTAGAGAGTACTAGCATGTATATGAACTCTCTTAAAAATTAATTACTTCCAGTTTTATTGAAATATAACAGTGTGTGAGTCCAAGGTATACAATGTGATAATTTGATAGGTGTGTATATTGCTAACTGTTTACCACAATAAGGTTAGTTAACACATCTTCTATTTCAATAATTTCCATTTTGTTGTTCCTGTTACAGTGAGAGCATTAAAGCTCTACTCTCATACTAATTTTCTTTTTCTTTCTTTTTTTAAGATTTTATTTATTTATTTCTAGAGAGGGAAGGGAGGGAGACAGAGAGAGAGAGAAACATCAATGTGCAGTTGCTGGGGTCATGGCCTTCAACCCAGGCATGTGACCTGACTGGGAATCGAACCTGTGACACTTTGGTTCGCAGCCCGCACTCAATCCACTGAGCTACGCCAGCCAGGTAATTTTCAAGTATATGATGCAGTATTGTTAACAAGCCACCATACTGCACATTAGCCCTTTGGAACTTGTTCATCTTATAACTGAACGTTCATACCCTGTGACCAACATCTTCCCATTTCCTTTAGCAACCACAATTCTATTCTCCATTTCTTTGAGTTCAACCTTTTTAGATTCCACATATAATACACTAACTCTTCATTAATCACAGTATGTGATTAAATTGGTTTTAGTCAGTGTGCTTTTGTGTATGCACCCTCCTTTCTATTCCCCAAGTCTCTGAGTTCTGGAATTCATTCTCCCTCACTTGGACATTGCAATGGCTTCCTTTCTCCTTTTCCTGCTTTCATTTTCTCCTTTATTCATTCAGAGCCATCAAAGAGCTTTCTGAAATACAAGTTTGTCATATATTCTCCTGCTTAGAAACTTTTAGTGCTATTCACTGTCTTTGAATTAAGTCCAAATTCTCTGGCCCAGCATCTAAGAGCTTCCTAGATCTGGTCCTATCACGTGTCTCTGCCTTTATCATTTAATATTCTTCTTTAAATGTTTTCTAGTATTTTATTTTTTAATTATTTTTATTTTAAAATTACAGTTGGCATTCAATTAATGTTCTTCTTAATAGCCCCAATAGTCTACCAAATCCAAACTTCTTGCATTGAGTTGTATATATAACACCTTGCTTGGCCAACCTACACCTTTGCCAGGAAGGGTCTTCTATTTCATTCCTTTGGATACAACTGCATTTTATCTTTAATGACCCATTTCATGTTATGATCTGTTCCCTGGTCATCTCACTAGGAAGGTATTCTCCTTTCTCTGAATGCCCACATAGCACACTCTAATGGCAATTACCACCTTCCATCTTGGATTTAGTTATTTATATATATTCATTCATTTATTTGTTGACTCAAAAATATGTTAAACAGAATTGTATGAGGTGCTGGGGATAAAAAAAGACTGTAGTCTACTGGTGAGGTAGAACTAAGCCCTTAGATAAAAAAATACAGTATATCAAATATGATAGTGGAAGTTAAAGAACTCTGAGAGGCCAGATAAAGGTTTGTTTAGATCTTTCTGGGGAAATCAGACAACTATCAGAGGAACAGAGCTGAGTTCCAATATATACGATGTTTAGGCATTAATTAGCCAGATGGATAAGATGAAAAATTGTCAGGAGTGGGGTAGGTAAAGAAAATCAGACAGTTCAGATGGAAGGTGTAGGGTTAGAAAAGGCAAGCCCCAGGAGAAAGCAAGGCAAGTCTGAGGAAGGTAAGTTATTCACTATAACTGGGTAAGATATTCTGAAAGACCAGTTGATGAGAAGAGACACATCAGGTAGACAGGTTCCAGATTTTGCCTTGCTAAGAAGTTTGGAGTTCAGCCTGTTGGCAGGCATGCTGAAGTATTTCAATTAAGGGAATGAGATGGAATTGTGGGTTAGACTCAGGTAGTAGAGTGGAGGAACATTCACAGACACAAAGAAACTGGGAGCACAAACTGGTGGGGGGTTCACCCATGTCTGATTCATCATTGTATTTCTTAATTGTGCTCAGCACAGTGCCAGGCATGTGGTTTATATACAAATTGTATTTGTTAAGAAGTGAAAGAAAACATGTCCATTTCAGACTAGAACATGAAGAGAAATGTATATCAGCTGTAAACTTCACACACTTCACCTGTATTACTCAGGTCACATAGGTAGAGGACATTTTCTAGCTTCCTGAACCTGTTGATCCACATCTCATATTCTGCAGACTTATTCTTCATTGCTGGACTCACAAAAGTCTACAAGACTGGTCTGATTATCAGAGAGCCCAGGGGATCTTTGGGGGCTGAAGTCTCAGTGGGGAGATTTTCTGGCTGCAACTCCTCTTCTGGAGATTTCTACCAAAACAACACAAGCATCTCACTGGCAACACATTCACCACCCAGAGGTCCTTCAGTTTTCTGGCCAAAGATGAGGCCACACAACTAGGAAGATTTATTGCAAGGTCTGGCTTTGTAAATCTAGGGGGGGTGAGTTTCAAGTTCTCAGTGCCATAGGACCATATCTGCCAAGTCTTGTTGGCTATAAACTACTATGTTGAGTGTTATTTTTTTAAGGAAAAGGATGAAATCATGATTTTATTGTTTGCATTTCCGATTTACACAAAGCAAAGTTTTTGTAACTGGCTGAGGCTTTTCATGATGTTCTACTCTGTTTCCTATTAGTGGTGTCAACAAAGCATGGGCTTCAGGAAATGCTTATAACTTCTTGGTGGAAAAAATTTCTGGATCATGAATCATAAATGTGAGTTTTTTGACAAAGAGTGATTGAAACAATAGTGATATTACCTTAGGCTATTGGGCTCATTATAACAGACTTTAAAGTACCTCTAGTTCTATCTGTCTTATTCATTTAACAAAGGAAGCTGAGGCCCAGAGAGCACTAGAGACTTACTAAGGTCATACAGTGAATGGTAGACACAAAATTAGGACAGGGGTGTAGAGGCTATGTCTAGCTCATTTTGGTATCATAACCCCATTTTCACTACAAAATGGAAATTTTTAAAAAATAGGATAAATGGACAAGTGCCATATAAGACATTTTGTCACCTACCATGTAGAGACGGAGGGCATCTATGGTTTGATTTCCCCAACCCACCTTTCCAGGAATTGCTGTTCTCCACATTGTTGTAGAGAGAACCAACAAGTGTCTAAATACTTAGTATAAGATTAGACATCTAACACAAGATGGGTCAGTGATTTTGGAAGTATTGGTGTGAGGTAAAGACAGAGAGATAGACAAAGATCATTCTGTGTGAGAAGTAGGTACTCTAGCAGGTTTTCCATTATGTACCAGAAATGAGAAAAAGATGGTCTGCTGAGAAATAAAAAGAAAGAAAGAAAGAACAAAAATAGAAGTCTGAAGCTGACAATGGAGAGGCGAGAAAAGATGTAGGAAGTTATGATGATATTTGGGTACCTGAATTTAGTTCATTGTTATATTTCTGTCTTTAGGTAGCACAATGTGTTTCTCTGTCCTTCCAGTAAATTATGTTGGTAGAGTTGGTTCTCTTAACTGCAACCCAAATAATCTTAACTAGTTCACCATAGAATTATGCCTCTAACTTTTGTATACCATTTGTGCTTCCCCAACTTTCAGTTACCTGATTTTTTTCACATTTGTACCTTTGTCTCAAACTTTGCACCTATAAGGTATGGAAATCCCATGGATCAAAAGAACAGCAATTGCAGTAAGAAGCCAAGTTTTGAGTTTGTTAACAAATGAATTTAGCTGCTGCTAGGGATGTGAAGAATTGTTTCATTTGAAATAATGGAATGCCATATGAAATTGTACCCATATGGATGACCAGTAACCAGTACATTTTAAAAGATTAATATATAAAAATTCCACTTAGATAAAGTCAATTTTGAGAAAAGCTGTACATTCATAAAGGAAATTGAGTAATGAGTCTTAGAGCTTTGACTGCTTTAGAAATCCAAAGGAAGCTTTAGATAATCTACCCAGGTAAATGCATATTCACATACATTTCAGTGGGTATTTAGAGAATTCAAAGAGATTCTTGGATGCAAGAAACTAATTTCAAACAACTTCATGTTTCTTCAGATAGTTCAACATTCTGTTTGACCACTAGAGACAGGGAAAGGGGAAATTTGTATGGACCTGGATTAAATTTAACTCACTCACTCACTCACGCATTTTATACTGCTTTGGTCTCATTGTATCCAAATGAAGCCCAAATTTCTCATTTGGCACATAAGTCCATTCAAGTTCTTCTTCTTGTTTATCTTCTTACAGTCCTACTTATACATCTTTTTCTCCAGTCACATACAACCAGAAAAAAAATAAGGCTGTTTTATGCTGTATATGTGCTGTTCCCTCTTGCTACGTATGCATTGATTGTTGGGCTCCTCCTACTCACCCTTCAAGAGCCAAGTCATATTTCCCTTCCTGTGGGAAGCCTTCTCTGACAGCCCCAGGCTGGGTGAGGGGAAATTCTCTGCAGCCCCTTTCTCCAACAGAGCACTTACCATGGGCTATTGTAATATTTGTTGGAGTACATCTCTCCTCTACCAGAGATCTGAAGACTGGGCCTGCAACATAGTCATTTATGTGTCTTCAAGGTCTGGTTAGTGGCTCACACACGGTTGGTTCTCAAGATAAGTTTACTGAATGAATGAATGAATGAATGATTTTCTCTGGGACAATAGGAAAATTGCTTTACCAAATCTCTGCTTCAACTTCCCTCTTTGGAAAGTGAGACAATGAATGCTGTTTATACAGGAATGTGAGAAGAATCAATTATTGCAGAGATGCAGGAAAATCCTCCAACAAGAGGCAAAATAAAAGAGCAAAGTATATTTTTTATATTCTTAATCACAACAGGCTTAACACTCTAGGAGAAAAGCATTTGCTGTTGTTTTTTGCATGGGAAGTGGCTTGCCAAAATGGATACTATTTTTCTAAAATATTTCAAAGTGTGAAGTGCATGAAGAGCCCTCCCGTCATTTTCAGATGAATTATGTTCTAATCTGGGCATTTAAAACACAACAACAACAGAAAAACTCAGGCTGGTTTTCAATTTTGTCTGTATCTTCTCCTGGCTAAGTGCTGGGAATATTAAAACAGATTTTAACTCCTTGCCAGATTTTTTTTAAGCAAAGAAAGAACCCATTATATTTTAAAATGTGATGTGTGATGAAAAGGTCACCCCCAGTGTCTGAAAGCTGGACTGACAATATTAAAACAGGTCTCCTAACCATCCTTTACTTTGATGGCAGTTGGTGGATTGGTCACAGGCTTTGGAAGGACACATACACATGCTACAAGTCCAATTTCTTGGGCAGATGGCAAGCCTGTCACCAAGTGGTGATGGGGGGTCTCTGCATGCATACTGGCTAGGACAGGGACCAGTCTACACTCTGATTCTTCTTCCCTTCTCTGTTGGAGGAAAGTCTCAAAGTCACAGACAATCTGACATCAAGGCCTTGGGTGGAAATAAAAAAGCTCAGAAGGGAGGGCCCCACAAGGGCCCCACCCTGCATCAGGGAATAGAAGGTGAAGGATCGCAAAGTCCTGCCCCAGTGCTGCATACCCAGGTGCATACCATATGTTCAGTTTTGCCTTGAGACATAGCTGGAACTTCAGCCTGCACTGAAGTGGCTGAGGTTTCCTTTCCTTTTTTTCCTGGACAAGAAAGAAAAAGTGGAAGGATTTAGTATGGCCTCTTCGTTTTAATACCTATACACAAACCCCAGGCAAAGAAGGTGTCAAGGCTCTGCTATATGTTTGGCACTATGTTAGGTGGTGGGGATACACTGGTGGATGAGAAAGATCTGATTCCTGTCCTGATGGAGCTCTCAAAGGGGATGCAGATGCTAAATAATTACTCAAAATTATCATTTAATTACAAAGCATCATAAACACAGCAAAGGAAAATGTGAAAATATTTAAACTTATTTTAGAGTATGTGTGGGAATGGTAAAGGATCAAAGAATACTTCTTGGAGGAAGTGATCCTTAAATTGGGAACCTGAAGGATGAGTAGGAGTTTCTAGGTAAAGGTGACAGTGGGGGTGCACACAGAGCAGAGAGTTCCAGGTAAGCACAGGCAATAGCCTGTAGTCCCCCTGAATCAGGAGGACTTTTACAGTCTGGGGAGAGGAAAGGGACCTTTCCAATGGTCCTGCCTCTTAACAGAGAAGCAGGCACATCTGCCCCTCTCTCCACGTAGGTGTGTGCCTGAAGTTTCAGGTAAAAAAACCCTTGTCTTCTCCCTTCCTTGTTCCTTTCAATGGTCAGAGGTCCTGTGTAGGAGGAGGTTTGAAGAGCATCCTTAACCCAGGGATTTTACTGTCCAGGTACAACTTGCTCACTTGGTTGCCTTCTCGGATAGAAGAAATTTCTTTAGGATACAGAAAAAAACATGAAGACCTTCTGCTAAAATTCTCTAAAGTGTATTGTGGATATCACTCATTCATCACTCTGTACCTTCGGTTAGACTGGAGACTCATTGATTTTGTAAATCTGTGTGATGGCACAGATTTCTGGGCACTTCAACTTCAATATTTAGTACATGATCCAAATGTGCTATTAGGAAATACATATTGTTTATGTATTGGGTTTCACTATTTTCAATGAAAATGGTTCAGTCAATACATTTTAATCAAAATGTGGAGGGCAGCAGTGTACCATAGTGGTAGAGAGTAGAGCCTCTGAAGGCAGATGCCTTGGGTTTGAGTCTTAACTCCTTTCTCTATTGACTGCATGACATCGGGAAAGTTACTTGTCCTCTTTGTGTATCAGTTTCCTCTTCTGTAAAATGGGTATAAATGTCACCTATAGGTTATTGCGAGGATTAAATGAACTAGAGAATGTGAAGCAAATACCTGTAACATAGCAAGTGCTCAATGAATGTTAACTAATATCATTACCTATATAATGATGTATATATAAATAAATTCACCTATCAGATCAAAAAGCCTTTTGTTAGACTTTTAATATTGCGCCTGTAAATCATTATGAATCTTCTCCCTCAGTTTCTTGATGGAGAAAACAATGTGACTTCATAATCTTCTCTGAAGCCCCAGCACTCAGTGTGAGAATAAGGACCCAATGCATACTTGTTGACTAAAGGAATAACCGTGTGCCTTCATTTGAAGTTTGGAAAATAAAATATATAGTATTGTTTCTCCAGTTTCTTTGCAGGCCCTAGAAGAGAAGGATTTTTCTCTGCATTTCTTTATTCTCACACACCTAACCCAAATGCTATACAGAGTAGAACTTAATAGATGCTTAACGAGGATTATGATGACAGCCAGGTAGGGCAGTCCTACCCAGGTGGGTCTAATGTAAGCTGCAGAAAATTTAAGTTGTCGTGGGGACCCATCACCACCTAGTAGCAATGGTTCCTGCTTATTTCACCCAGAATGTGAAAGAAAGCTTTCTGTTTCCTGTAAGTGAAAAAAACATTCAAATGACTCTGAATTGTAGAGTTCAAGAGTTAAAGAGATTCTAGAAACAGTGTATAGCATAAGGGCAGAAAGATGAAGTTAAGTGTGAGACATGAATGTTAATCCTGTTTCTTTCCTTTACAAGCTTGCGAATTTTAGTTTTGTCATTTGTGAAAAGGAAATGATACCAGCAATTCACAGTTATGTGGGGATTTAAAAAAATTATATTAACACAGGGAAGATGCTTAATGCGAGATTTATTATTTGTTGTGTTATTATAACTTTATGACCTTAAGCAAATTTAGTTTCCCCAGAGAAGAGGACTTAACAGTAACTACGATGAGCCAGGAATTTTTCTGGGCACTGTTCATATGCATTATCCCTTTTAGTATAAAATCTAGAACCTAGACTTTGTCCTACTACTCTCATTTCTCTTTACTGTCTGCACTTTTAGAAGTACTATTAAGAAAAAATGCAGGCTAGTCTTCCTGGTCTCTTTTCAGGTTCCCTGTCTCTTTCCTAATACCTATCCGCCTATAAAAAGGTAATGATTTACACATGTAAAAATTGTTTGATAAACCCCAAGGCAGAGCTATTTTTTTCTTCCTAACACAGCAGGAAGGATAAATAATAACCATCTGTCTAGTCTGCCAGTTGAAGATTTGTACTGGAGGAAATAAGCCAAGCTGGATCCTAGAGATTTCCAGGTGTTGGAAGGGCCAAGTTTTTACAGAGCTTCCAGTGGATTCTGATAGTAATAAGGCCAGTGCTCCTGCCCACCTCCCCCAGTCCTCCAATAATGGCTTTAAATCAGTGGTCTTCAGTGCTGTCTGCTAATGTGCTCATACCTGGGGAGCTTTAAAAATTACCAGTGCCTAGCCATCACACCAGACCATTAAATCAGAATTTCTAGGGTGAGAACCTTGCTCAGGACTTCTAAAGAATTCCCTAGGTAAGTCTAAAGTTAAGCCAGGATAGATAACAACTGATTTAAATAACAGCTTCTGGCTTTATTGGACCTACTGAGTGAAGTTTTTGTGAGTAAAAAATCTTATATACCAGGTCTGTCCAGAAGGTATTCAGCCATGTACTATGAAAAATGGAGAAATTTATTGAAGAAGATACAAGATATAAGAAACATTGTACATAGGACAATGATGTTTTCAGTCCCCTTCAAAGTAGGTACCTTGGGACCTCACACAGTTCTTCCAGTTGCCATCAGCTACACTGTCATATTTTCCTGAATCTCATCAATGGTCTGAAATCTCTCCTCTTTCAAAGGTGATTTTAGTTTTGCAAAACCCAGCAGTTGCAGGGCACCAAATCTGTAGAGGGGCTGAGTCACCTGGGTGATTTGATGTTTCACGAAAAATTCTGCACAAGATGTGATGCATGAGCGGGTTCATTGTGCGATGAAGCTGCCAGTCACCAGTTGCCCATAGCTGTGGGAAACTGAATCATAGATGATTCAGCCTTCTGAATCATCTGAATAGTTTCCACAGAGGAATGTTCCAGCTTAATGCAAAAATTTGATGCAGATGTGTTGCTCTACTTGCTCAGTCTCTTTGAATGTGATGGCCACACAGTACATATGCTCACTCAACAGTGTCAACTGCTCCCACTGACTAAGTACAGTGAAGCTGTCATTGTTTATGCATGTACGTTCCAGTCCATTCTCCTTAGCTGCCAGGTTACACTGATGGTGTGCAAAATGTCCCCATTAAATTAACAATGGCTGGACTTTTCCTGGACAGACCTTATATGTCAAATATCTATATATGCCATACACTTTCCTCATATTTTCTTACTTATCTCAAGAACAACCCTGTGAGGTAGAAACCACCTGCATTTGACAGATGAGGAAATGGAGGCAATGAAAGTTTTAGTTACCTGCTTATGACAACAGAGGTAGGGGTCTGTCTGGCATTCTAACAGTGCCTGCTATATGCTAGGCACTGTTCTAGGCACTCTGATACAACAATGACTAAGACATAATCTTCTCATGGAGTGTGCATTCCAGTGGTGGGAGCAAACAAACAGATACATAAAATAATGTCAAGTAGTGATAATATTATAAGTACAACTAAAACAAATTATGGGCATAGAAAGTAGTGGCAGTTGCTATTTTGGATAGGGAACTTGCCAAGGTCCTCTCTGAAGTGACATATAAATATAGCCATGAGTGAAGAAAGAAGGAAGAAAGTCATGAAAATGTCTGGGAAAAGAGCAGTCCAAGCAAAAGCTATAGCAGGGGCAAAGATCTTGAAGACATATTTAATGCATTCAAGCAATAGCTGAGAAGAGAATCTAGCTGACCCAGGATGAAAAGGAAAGAGAAATGGGTTAGGTATTCACAGAACTAAAGGTACTCATGGGCCATGCATGTGTCTGGAGTTGGTTTTTAATTTTTTTGGCTTCGCAGTATTCATTCCTTCTCTGGTATTTATTCCCTTCATTACCTTCTTATAGTGATTGCAACTGTATTTTGCTTGGTATGGACCAGACCTTCCCCACTGCAGTGCTGTGGTCTCATGGGAATGTTTCAGATCCATGCTTGGCTTCAAATAGTTGAAGACAAGGGTGGGTCTTAAATCTAATGAAGAGTGGTGTCATTGTAAGAAAAAAGAGAGAATTTAGAAACAGAGACACAAAAGAGACACAGAGGGAGGAAACCCATGTGAAGACAGTTGGAGTTTTGCAGACACGAGACAAGGAATGCCTGGGGCCACCCAAACTCGGAGAAGGCAAAGAGGGAAAATGTCACTGCTGATGTGATTGATTTCAGACGTCTGGAACTATGAGAGAATAAATTGCTATTATTTTAAGCCACCGGGCTTGTTGTAATTTATTTCAGCAGCCCCGAGGAAATGAATATACTCACTGCCCTCTTCCTGCTCTCTCAGCCTGCTAATATTCCTATAGCCAATCCCCCAGTTTTCTGCTATGAAGTCCCTCTGTTTGACACACCTAGTAAGGTTTCTGTTTTTCTGCTGGAATAAAAACTGATGTACTCTCCAGCCCCCACACTCTCAATACCTTGTGTTTTGATTCAAAGGTAATCAGTAAACAGTTGATAGATATAGTAAATAGAGAAATTGTAATAACAGATTAATATCAATGCATATTCTTTCACCTGTCATATTTAAAATGTGCCAATTGCTAAATATTATGCCCATATCATCCTTATAATTTCACTTCATAGTATGTCCTGGAAATCTTCCTGTGTAAGGCCAGCCATGCTATTATAGCTGCATAGTTTTATCAATTGGATAGACTGTAATTTGAGTAAATGATCCCTAAAGGATCTTTATATTGCTTCCATTCATCAAAATACTAGGAAATGCTGCAATAAACATACATATATAAATCTTGGAGAGATTTTTTTCTGAGCTATCAGTTGGATAGGTACACAACTGTGGGACTCCTAGAGCTAAGGGACTGGGCGACTAAAGTTCCAATAAATAATACCAACTTCTGTAAGTGTGCTGCATTCACCATAAAGCACTATCACTAGAGAATGCTCCATGATGTAATAAAAACTGGAGAGTTATGCATTTTATAATCCAACTGACCTTAAAAATAGTCATCAAGGTAATTCTCACTTATTTTTTTCTGCACTGGTGAGTCATTTACATTTTTGGTAGCAATAATATCAAACCCAACAAGCAACCAGCTAAGCTGAGCATTCCAGTCAATAATAGCTCTGGGTGATAGGAGGTCCCTCAAGGAACAAGATTACTGAACTCACCTGTAGGCAAATCAGAGGACAAATCTGAGAAAGCTTTGCTCAACAACTCAACAAAATTCTGCCATCTGTGCAAGCAAAAGAGACAAAATATTGGTGATCGATATAATTTCTCTGAAAGAATGTGTAATAAAGCTCAAAGTTTATATTGATAGTTTTGAAGGAGCTTTATGATACCTGTATCATTGAGGGTGCAATGCAGGAAACAGAAGCTTTTTAAAGTATCTCTATGAGAAAGAGCTTTAACATAAGGAATTAGATGCCCACAAAATGACTTCAAGTGCCAGTAGAGTGAAGGTTGACGTCTGCTGTGAGCCTCAGGGTCAGGACTCAGCAGATACAGTCTAGAAACCAGGGGTCTGCAGGAAATTCTGGCTTATGTCTCAGTTGCCATTGACCATGAATCTGGTGACAAGGCAGTAAGTACAAAGTGCATTTGGCCACTGGAAACACTGAGGCCCACCAGGGCCTGGAGTTCCTGCTACTGTAGGAAAATAAATAAATAAATAAATAAATAAACAAACAAACAAACAAATAAATACCTAAAATATCTTTGTCCCTCTTCCCACTTCCTTCTACCTTTCAAATCTCATGCAATTGCATCTCTCTGATGGAACTTAAATCAATTCCAGAACGTTGGTGTCAAGGGAATTTTGGAAATGCCCTTTTTAGCCTTCCCAAGAATGGGAAGTATTGCAACACGAGAAAGAACATAGAAGGGAGTAGAAACAAATGCTGAGTACAAATAGACAATATTTAGTGAAGTTCCTCAAGCAGAAATTGCACTGAGCTATACATCTGCACGTGACAATGAGGGAGTCATTTAAAGCTTACAAGTTTTTTAGGAATGCTTCAGTAGTAAAAAAATCACTTCTATTTTCTTGCCCAGCATTCATCCTTTCTCTATTTATATATAAATATGATCTCTGAGGTAATGGACCACAGTCAAAGCCCCATACCCTTCCCTAGATGATGTTGTGATCTACTTTGTTGAATTAACACCTATCACTTTCTCTTCACTTTCTCTGTTCCCCTACCTCTTTTCCTCCTTCTCTCCCACTCTCTGTCTCTGCCTCTGTGTCTCATAATTTTTGATTTGGTACATCCTGAAGTTTTATTTTTCCCTAACTTTCTATGCTACTCCACATCCTTTCAAAATGGTTGTTTTGCTTATGTTAGCAGAAGGCAGTTTGTGTTGCTAACAAATGAATTGCTACTGATAAGAATTTTTATCTTCTTCTTGCCCACCAGAAGTTAAGAAAAATAAAGACCAGGTTGTGAGGTATATGCCTTAGGTTTTCTAGAAGAGTTCTAGTGGCATGTGATTTTATTCTCCTTAAATACAAATAATTCATTAGATATATAACTAGTTTATTTTGCTTATATTGCATAAAAGTTTTCCTGTACATGATATCACAAATCAGCAAAGTTCTTAGGTCAGTACCAAAATATGGTCCCCAGAGCCTCATTTATTTTTGGTCACATGAAAAGATAAGGCATAGGTATGTAGAACTGCCAGCCAGATGAGCTGATGACTGTATCAGCTGTTGAAGTCTAGGCAGGGAAGAAGGTGAAACAGCACTCTCAAAGATGTGACACTAGCTCAGATCTGGACATGAACTGCAACAGAAGTAGCTCCTGCCTTCTATACTTGCTGCAGTTTATTTCTAGGCCCTTTCAAGAAGACCAGGTTTATGCCTAGAGCACCTTCTGACCTTCTGAAAAACAAGTGTGACAACAAAAACCCAGATCCATTGATATTCTCACATTTGCATAACATTTATTTTTCAGAATGGGTAGGAGTTATCCAATATGAGATAAGGTCTCTGGACAAAATGGCATTGGAAGCTCTCTTGCCCTTTCTTGGTTATGTGTTGTTAGTAGGGGAGGAGACTGTGAGATAATTTTCTAAGTATTGAATTTAGATGTTATCTGATTTAAATGGTGCATAGGACTGATATGGCCAATACAATTCTTAAGATCCTTCCAATAAAGTGTTTTCTTTCTTCCATATTCTTTTTAAGTTAAATTGATTGGGGTGACATTGGTTAATAAAATTACATAGGTTTCAAGTGTACACTTTTATGATACATCATCTGTATTTTGCACTATGTGCCCACCAGCTAAAGTCAAACCTTCCATATTCTTTATTTGACTTTCAGACCTTCAAAAAAACATTGACAACTTAAGTGTGAGAAGAGGCTCTGGTTGCCATAACAGACACTATAATACTAATCATAGAAGCAAGTGCCAAACTCCCAATATCAAGTCAAAGAAATCAGGACTGGAGGACATGATGTGTGAGCCTGATTCTAGATGCAGACAGATCTGAGTTCAAATTCTAACTTTAATTTACTTTATTAAGTTAAAATGGCCATGAGTGAGCATTCTGTGTACTTTATGTGCATTTCTCATTTAATTTAAACAACCAATTTATGAGACATATAAGTAACTAGTCCAAGGTCATGGATCAATGGGGCAGCCAGAAGTCAAACCCCAGATGTCTGACTCCAAATCCTTTGCCCTTGACCATTGTACTATATGGCCTTACACATGCTCGGAATATTAATTGGCTTCAGTTACATTTCTTTCCCCATGGAATTCCATGAACACAGCTCCACTGTCTTCTGACATTCATTATTGAAGAAGCTCGAAGTCAGTCTTATTTTTGTTCATTTTTCATTAATTTTTGCCTTTTATTGCTTTGGTTTAGTTTTATTTTGTTTTTGGTCTAGAGCCTTAAATACTTTTCTTTGTCTTTGTAATACAAAAGTTTGTCAGGATTGACAGGGATACATGTTTTCTTAGTTTAGTTTGGAGAATAGTGAATCCTTTTAATGTGTACACTGAGAATTTTTTCATCTTTGCAAATATTCTTCACTTGTAACTTTGTTTTTACTTCTTGTCCAATTTTTCTGTTGAGTTGGCCAAAAAGTTCATTTAGTTTTTTTTTCCCTACGAAGACTCTAGTAGTGTTTAGTTGTCTTTAATTTCATTTGGAACAATTTTGTTAGATTGTATTGTGACAGCTGTCATATCAGTGTGTATTTAAAAAAGAACTTTTAAAAATTGGTGAATTTTTGTGCAGCCATTTTAATATTGAAGATAGAAGAAAATACTCAACATTTTTGGTGTATTACACTTTATTGTTTCAAGAAAGGTAAAAAAGTGCAACCAAAACACAAAAAGATTTGTGCAGTGTATGGAGAAGGTGCTGTGACTGGTTGAATGTGTCAAAAGTGGTTTGTGAAATTTCTTGGTGCTATTGACATTTTGGCTAAATAATTCTTTACCATGGGGATGTCTTATGCATTGGAAGATGTTTAGCAGCACCCCTGGGCTCAACTCACTAGAAGCCAACAGCAGGAGATGGCTGACATACTCAAAATATCCAAATCAATAAAGTAATTAGTGAAAATGAAAAATGTGTCTTATTTTATAGAACAAACCACACAGACTTTCTGGCCAATCCAGTATTTTCTTATTCTACAAACCAAGGGCATTCATTCAATTTCCAGTCTTGTCTTTCAATATCTACTATTTTTTAAATTTTCTTCTTTGTTCTTTAGATTTTGTGTGAACCTCTCAAAACTGATACTATGTTTTAGATATATTTAGTGTTAAGTTTTCCTTTTTTAAAATTGAATCCTGGTCACCTCTTTCTTTGTTAAATGGTATTTTATTGGAACACAGCCATAGACATTATTTTTGTGCTGTTTATGACTGCTTGCAGGCCACAGTGACATAACTGAGTGGTTGCAACAGACTGTAGACCCACCAAGCCGAAAATATTTACCATCTGGCCTATTACAGACAAGGTTTGGTGATGTAAACATTTAACATAAATGCCGTCATATCCTCAAACATCTAGCAGTGTTCATATTTCCTTGATTGTTTCATATTTTTTATTGAGATGTAATTTACATAATATTATATTTGTTTCAGGTGTACAATAAAATGATTTGATATATGAATATATTGTGAAATGACAAAATAAGTCTAGTTAACATCCACCACTACACATTGTTACAGTCCTTGTTACCTCTTAATTCTGCTGTAGAAGTTTTTGTTTGCTTGAGACTGTTTAGATTTCCCCAAGGTTTTCCTAATTTCTTCCATTTACATTTTGTGCTTTTTAAATTTCATTTTTACAGCCTTTTAATCTCATTATGCTTATTATTTTCCAATTCATTTTAATAGAGGACATGGCTTATATCTTATAGAGAATATAAGTGGTTTTCTAAATGTTTTCTAGTTTCTAGAGTAAACCATTTTTAAAAATGTGGTGTTATTTGGGGTTTGCAGGATCATGATTCTCTCTGTTTGCAGTATTTTTAAAAATGAGACCTTACATGTTGGGTTTTCTCTTTATTCAGGGTCAGATGAGGAACTGTTCCCATTCAGCACAACACAACGGATGAGCTGTGTAGGTTTCCCTTAGCCTATCCACGGCACATTTAATCCTGCATTTAAAGGGTGGGTGGCAACGGCAACCAGCGCCTGGATGCCTGGGGCCCCTCAGTTTGGACTACCTCAGAGGCCGGATCCTCTCACGCCACCTGCTGAGCATCAGATATTAAATTGGTGTAGCATGTCATAATCTTTATACTCCTCAGCAGTTGATTATATATAACTATACACAGTTACCGGGGATTTCTCCCACTGATCCCAATACCAATCAGAATGTGTGATCCCGACCAATCAGAGAGGAGGGGGTGGAAACTTTCTTTATGTAAGCGGGCCTTCCCTCTACCTTCTTTGGGATCACTTTCGATTTTCTTTGAAGGCTATACCTTTCTGGTTTGTAAACTGTTTACCTACATAAATTTTTTCCTGTTACAAACCCCAAATTTGGAACTCCCATTGGCCTTAAACTGGTGGCAATGACCTTTTGCTGATAGCAAGTAAGTGAATGTTTGTATATCCTTGGGCTGGGGACATAGGGGGTGGGAACAGTACTCTGGCAGCTATGGACAGCATCATCTGTTGCTTTCTGGTTGTTTAAGACTTGGGGCCTCCAAATCAAAGGAAAGGCACTGGTGAAGGATCAAAATATCTTCTAATGCAC